TCTATAACAGCCCTAATTGAGCAAACGATGCTGTTTTATGGCCTAGCAACTCCTGTGATTTCAAACGGATCATATTTCTCAAGCGAGGAAAGCGGTGACGTGCGGTTTCATTAAAGTTTTAGGATCGGACAGTCAAGTGACGTAAAATAAAGATTTGGAGTGTCTGAACAGGGTTTTGGAGGGATATTGAGAATAAAAAAGGATTTTTGGCGCGGTAAACCTTACAGCCCAAAGAAATCTTCAACTTTTTTCAAAAATTATGCCTTTTTTGAGGGGAATTTATAGGGCTTTATCTTTTAAAGAAGTGGGTAAGGTATGAAAATTTAGAGCTTGTGCTACAGATTAAAGGTCACTGTTCAATGTCTAAGCAGCCTCTACCGTAAACGATGTAAAAGCATAAAATAAATTGTGTGAGATGTTGTACTCTGATTATTCAAAAAGATACGCCATCTTTTTTTGCGAGTGCTACACCATTTGCAATCTATAACACGTCACTGGCTTCGTATACGGTAAAATGCCTCCTGAATTGTCAAATGCTCTACTAAATGCCAGTTGTGAAAGTTTTAAAAGCAGTAAATGAGTGTTTCTTACAGTTCCGTGGATAGCCATGCTTTGGAGCAATCATTAGAGTTCATCAAATCAGTGATGTCCAGTGGAGATGGAGCAATATGCGCTGTAAGACTTTGTATATATATTGATTGATTGATTATTTGAAAGGTTTTTTTGTGGATTACCCAGCCTTTTTACGTGATTTTTGACCTTTTCCATTTTCTTTCAGGACGGCTCACCTGCATCGTATCATCGCCAACCTGTTGTAGCCGTCGTGGGAGCTGCTGGCAGTCAAGTATCGGTGATGGTCGCCAGTATGCTACAGCTTTTTCGGGTATCTTTGTCCTTACGTTACAGTGGCAAATTGTGTGCAATCACGGACCTAGTCATCGTTTTCGAAAACGCCTGAAATAGGTTATTCTTCTTATAAAAAGAAAACAGCCTTTCACCTTTTTAAGGCTAGTACAGTATTCCTCAAATATATGGTGATAGCACATAAATTCTAAAATCACGGCTTAGGATAAAGTAGAATGCTCTCCTAACAAATTTCCATGCTTTGCGAAGCTCATCCTAGGTGGGGAACC